AAGTGGACGAGAAGATTCATAGAAGAGACATGAAGTATTTGATAACAAAGATAAGGGAAAAATGAAATTATAATTTCATCTTCTGCTCTGTTACTGTCAGTGTAGGACACATTCAAGAGTGCCTATCTGGATATATCTGTCTCAGCAGGGTTTTTCAGATTCCAGTGTTCAGTACTGAGGCTGTTTCTTTAATCTGTTCTTCTAAAGGGCAAATTGTATAGTTAGCCAGTAAGAGACATTAGACTAGCTGCATCTTTTAAACACCCACTTCTTTTTGGAGTGCAAGTAGCTGATTTGGATCTATGTTAGGCACACAGATAGCTTGCGTTATATCTCTGTAGCTGAGCACTCACTCAGTACTGGACTTGTTCATCTGTTATAACTACTAGCAGTCAGAGAATTTCTACCAAAGTGGAAAACAGATTCAGTTCACTCAAAAAATCAAAATAACCATATCTCCCACATCTCTAGGGTATACCGTTAAAATCAGATTTGGGAACAGGCTAGGTGAAAGGTACCCTCTATTTGACCTACTAAAACTGAGTAGAAAGGAAAAATATGTAGATTAAGAAAAACGGGAAGCCTGAAGGAAGCTAGAATATAATCTTATGTGTGAAAATAGGGGAGGATTCAAACCAAGGAAGCAAACTGGACAAAAAATATGACATTACCACTATTTTTGATCTCTAATGAAAGTGGTTGAGCTCATTTCATGCTATGTGCATGACATTGCCTCTGCAAGCACCATGCGGATGGGAGACATGGGTGATATTTCAATTCTAAGTAGTTAGGCCTAGCTGAGAGGTAGTCACTCAGTTACCTGAATTCAGACACTTTGGTGCACACACCAGATTTGATGCATAAACTTTTTTTCAGGTCACCAAGGAGGCAAAACAGTTTCAAGTACTTCCAAATAAAGGAAGTAATTTTGAAATGTACATATTTTCTAATATTCTTTTTGACTACCCCAGTGTTTCCTATGTAATGTTTTAAGTTTCAATAGGCAGGAGATAGTTAGTCCTAGAAGACATGTTAGAAAGGTAGAAAATCCCTAGATATCCACACAACCATTATCTATTTTAGCTGCCTGAGGCCATCAAAAGCTGTGTCACTAAGTGAGTAAGATCCTTCTGATGGGGAAAATGTGAAAGTCATTTATGAGATAGGAGTGGGGACAGAGGGTCTGGATCATTTATATGAGATGCTTTCTCAGTTATGAGGGTAGAAAACAATACATAAGCCCTGGATCAGTTCTGGAATAGAGGTAGGGTGGTGGATGGAAACAGAAAAGTATTTAGGCCTCAAGTTTTTCCCATAGTGTAAGGGGAAGCAAGATTTGTGTGTGTGTGTGTGTGTGTGTGTGTGCTGCTGTGATTTTAGTTTTCTGTCTTATGTGTTCTGACTGTCAAGAACAAGGAGAACAGATATAGCAGCCTTTGTTATATCTGTGAAAAGCTTTATTGGACAAAAAAAAATGTAGTTCAGAAGGTATTTTAGTGTGAGGAATGCTGAAATGCATTTCTATGTAACCATGAATCTGAATTGTTGTGAGAAAGGGACTTTTATTCTCCTGTAACTTGTAGTTAGCTACCACTGTGAGACTTCTGAAAAAAATAATAATATCAGAATTCATTTTTTGCTACTTTTGTTGCTGCTTGATTTTCAGAGAAGCCAATTCTCTAAAACTCATAGGCAGTTATGCTCCCAGGATAATAAGAAATATCCATAATGCACAAAAACAAGAAGGTTGTCTTCTTGTCAGGGATAAAATGAGGACAAAAGCCAAACCAAGTGTGAGGCATAGTGTTTGCTAGATTTGGGCTGCAGGAGGGGGGATTGCAAAGACAGGAAGGACTAGATACAGGACATGTTCCTGTCCTGTATTCAGACTATCATCCTGAAACTGGCCATTTAAAAAGAAGTAGAAAGAGTAATTGGCCCAGACTGTTTAGTAATTGGAGTGATTGACAACTAGTCTCCAGCTGAGTATGCAATTTCACTGGAGTAAAAAGTCAGGTTAATATACATACCACACACAATGTGTAAGTACATGTTCAAAGCCTTCCTTTCAAGGTCTAGAAAGTTTCTTAAAGTCATTCTTTCTCATAAGTTTCATTAAATAGTATGTAGTAAGGGCAATCCACGCAAAACAGGGTCCATGAGGCCTAAAATCTCTAAAAATTGTATTCACTGTTTGAAAATTTTCTGTCAGAAAATTCCCTACTTGCTCTAGAGTTAATTCTTCAATGACTAGCAGATGGTTAAAAAATACTGTCACCATTATCAATAAACCTCATTGTATGTGAACTGTAATCTGCAACATGAAAGAACCTGTGATTTAGGTATTTTTCAAACAGGCCTTTGTGCTGGTCATTTCAACCGAATCCACAGAAACTAAATTAAACATAATGATATAAAATACCTGCATGTAAAATACCTGCACAAAGTGTACTGAAATCGATGGGCATTCATTATTGTGGTGAATGCATGGTCAGATTTAGAACTGATTCACTTATAAGATTTAGTTGTATGGAAACCTTCAGGAAGAGATTGTTCCTCTTTGGTATTTATTTGTAAGAGCTTGGCATTGTGGACCTTCTCAAAAAGGCCTTCTCCAAAAAGGCCCACACCATGATGCAAATACTTGTTGCTAATATAGCCAGTGCTATTATATGAATGTATGTTTTTTACTCTATAACATCCAGAGGATCTTTATCCTTTTTTATCCTCTGATACTTATATTGAACCATAAGAGAAAAAAAAGAACTTATGGGTCAGGTATTGTCTTTAGACTTACAAAATTATTTCAATGTCAGGCACAGTTAGAGGATCGCCAGGTGATGCTCAGCTAGTCAATTAATAGCCACGGGTTTGATTTTCAAAACTAGTAAGGCTTCAGAAAAACACTTTTTATGTTTAATGGAATTTTCATATACATTACAGTTTGTTAAAGGTCTTACTTGCATTGATTTCAGATTTGCGAATTCTGTTAGGAAATACGTGCATCTTTAGGAAACAAAATATCTTTACTTTTAGACACCACTTAACGCAACACTTTACTCTAAAAGCCAATGTTGTACCAGTTCAATTGGAGATCAACTTATTTGGTTCAGAGGGAAAAAGATAGATCGTAGGTACTGTCTGCATGTGAGTGTGCATCTGCAAAGAGGTCCTTCTATGGAAGTCTGAAAAAAACTGCCTATTAATGTAACTGTGAGAAGTTGTCCTTAGAAACACTCATGCAAAATGATGGTCAGGATCTGCTTTCAGGCACACAACTGTCAATTTGGAAATTGAAAGGAACACAGCTATTTCACTGATGTGAGAAATGACTCCATAGTATATATTTCCTGATGTATTATCTCGATGTGTTATTGAAAAGAAGAGAGATATTGCCCCTATAACATTCCTCAACACAAGAGGAAATCCTGTTTGTCTTTTCAGTCTCGTGCTCTCCCTGGAACCAGGTTCATCATCATATAAATTTTGAAGCGTTCTCCATCTTTTCTTAAAGAGTAGATGTGTCCTTGCCTCATTTTGTGAGAATTTTGGGCAGTTTACTGTATAATCATTCTTATGCTTTGCAAAGTGGTTCACAGTGAGAGTCCACCCTTTGGAAATACATTTGTCACATTTCTCAGCTAATGGTGCTTTAAGTAAGAACACAGTTTGTTTGTGATCTCTAGGGAGAAAGTAATGGAATAACTTTGTATATGAAAATACATTTAAAAATGTTCAGCTTAATGGTGACTGCATACCAGTATATAATATATGTACTTTTCTCCTTAAGGCAAAGTTATCTCCAGCTTAAAGTGATAGTATTGGCTAGTGCTTAAAATCATGCTTGACAACTAAGTCAGTGTCTGCCAAGACAATGAGCAGGTTTTACTTCATAATTGTTTTTTTATGAGAATTAAGTTTAATAAATATTATGTTATTTCTAGTGCCTACTTTTAAGGTTAAAACAATCAATCAATCTATCAAAGAAACAAAAACATAAAGCAGCCACTGAATCATAGAATCACAGAATAGTTTGGTTTGGAAGGAACCTTAAGATCATCAAGTTCCAACCCCACGCCCCCACAGGGACACCTCCCACTAGACCAGGTTGCTCAAAGCCCCATCCAGCCTGCCTTTAAACATTTCCAGGGATGGGGCATCCACAGCTTCTCCAGGCAACCTGTGCTTGTGCCTCACCACCTTTTGAGTATAGAATTTCCTCCTATTGTCTAATCTAAATCTACTTTCTTTTAATTTGAAGCCATTATTCCTTGTCCTGTCATTGAAATCCCTGGTAAAGACTCTCTCCAGCTTTCTTGTAGGCCCCCCTTAGGTACTAGAAGACTGTCTGGAGACTCCCTGGAGACTCCTGGGTCTCCCTGGAGCCCTCTCTTCTCCAGGCTGAACAATCTCCCTCAGCCAGTCTTCGTAGGAGTTGTGCTCCTTGATCATTTTTGTGGCCCTTTTCTGGAAGGGCTTTAATAGGTCCATGTCCTTCTTGGACCTTGGGGCCCCAGAGCTGAATGCAGTACTCTTTGTGGGGTCTCCCGAGAGCAGAACATAGGGGGAGAATCACCTCCCTTGACCTGCTGGCCATGCTTCTTTTGATGCAGTCCAGAATATGGTTGGCTTTCTGGGCTTCAGGCTCAGTTTGCTGACTCACACTGAGCTTCTCATCAACCAGCATCCCCAGGTCCTTCTCCGCGAGGCTGCTCTCAATGCAGATGGTATTTGTGTCTGGGATTGCTGCAATCCAGCTGCAGGACCTTGCACTTAGCCATGTTGAACTTCATGAGGTTTGCACAAGCCCACCTTTCAAGCCATACTTGACACTAATTAAAGGCAACCAAAGTCAAGGGTCTTTCTGATGTATGTATAAAAAAGGAAGAATGTTATTATTTCTGTTTTTTGGCTAGTATTTTTAAGATAATTATTTTATTTGCCTTCATATGTTAAACCAATATAACAATGATTTTTATGTTGTTTCTTTCCTTCCCCAGATGTACATCCAGACAACAACACTTACTGTCTCCATGAGCTTAAGTGCTTCTGTGTCTCTGGGCATGCTCTACATGCCCAAGGTTTATATTATCATTTTTCATCCAGAGCAGAATGTTCAAAAACGGAAGAGAAGCTTCAAGGCGGTAGTGACAGCTGCCACAATGCAAAGCAAACTGACCCAAAAAGGAAATGACAGACCAAATGGAGAGGTCAAAACTGAACTATGCGAAAGTCTTGAAACCAACAGTAAGTCATCTGTAGACTTTCCCATGGTCAAGAGTGGCAGCACTTCCTAATAGATGTACGTTTACAGGAATGCATTTTATTTTAATAATTAACTTTATTCTTTTCATTGTTTGGTATGCATGAATCCAGAGAATTAATGTACTGCTGAATGCAGGAATGCCTAGAGTTGTTTCTAACAAATTGATTTTCATAGGTAATAAGAGGTTAGGTAAGGCTAGGTAAAAAAATAAATTAAAAAAATCACGAGCAAATTTTGAAAAGCCACATCTTTAAAAAAAATAAATAATCATCTGTTTTAAATAAAGCTAATTTGCTGTGTTGTCCATTGATTTGTCAGCTTTTACAGTATGTCCTGTCAATTCATAAGGTGTATTATTGGTCATCACTGTATATTCAAAACTCAAAGGCTCATGAAAACATACAGGAAAGTTAACATGGTTTTTATTTTGCAGTTAGATATAGGAGTGAAAATAATCCTTTTTACCTTTCCACCCTAAGTTAATATTTATTGTTCATTTATCACAACTCATGATCGCTAACACTTCCCAGAATAACACTTCCCATCAAAGCATTTCATAGAATCACAGAATGGTTTGTGTTGGAAAGGACCCTTAAAGATCATCTAATTCCACCCCATTGCCATGGACAGGGACATCTTCCACTAGACCAGGTTGCTCAAAGCCCCATCCAGCCTGGCCTTGAACACTTCCAGGGATGGGGCATCCAAAACTTCTCCGAGCAACCTGTGCCTGTGCCTCACCACCATAATAGTAAATAATTTCTTCCTGTTGTCTAAACTAAATCTACCTTCATTAAATTTAAAGCCATTATTCCTTGTCCTATCACTACACTCCCTCGAGCTTTTCTGTAGGCCCCTTAGGTACTAGAAGATTGCTGCCATGAGGTCTACCTGGAGCCTTCTCTTCTCCAGGCTGAACAATCCCAACTCCCTCAGCCTGTCTTCATAGGAGAGGTGCTCCATCCCCTTGACAATTTTTGTGGCCCTACTCTGGATTCATTCTAATACTTCATCTGTTGTGATCCTACTCATCTTGGTACAAATATATGGTAATTCCTATACAACTTAATCATTACATGTTCTGATTTGCCATGGATTATTAATGGGAAGAAGTTCTTTCCTGTGTCAGGAAAGCTCTTGAATTTGCCAGATCTCTAAAATTACACTGGTTTGGAACAGAACAGAGGTTATAGCTTCAATTGCGCTACATGACATACAGACTTATGGTCTGGACTTAATAATAAATACTTACAAGAAAATATTAATAGAACCAATAACTTTACCCCCCAGAGCTTAGTAGTAGTGGAAAATCGGTTATCCATTGAGGAGCTAAAGGACACATGGGGTAGATAGAAGCTGTTACAGTTAAAGACTAATTTTTCAGTCATTTTACTTTTTCATTACTTTCTGATGATGTGGACAGGAGATAGAATAGTACTATTTTACTTGAGCACATTTGGACAAGAAAGTGCCAAGTTTGAAGAAATATGTCATTTCATAAAAATGCAGACCCTCGCTGAATTCAAACAGAGCTTGCCAGGTTGAAGACTATGTAAAAAAATATTCCATAGGTTTACCATTCTGTAGTTGCTTATGCATGGAGGATACTCAGTGCAAACTAATTGTCTTGCTGAGCTCATGGGCCTTCAAAATGTTTATGTCCACCAGACTGAGATATGTGTTTGTACAGCTTCATATTATCGTATATAACAAAAGGCAAAAGGAGAAAGGCAATGAATCTCCTTGTGAGTCACAAAACATCACGGAAATGTGAAGAACTCATTAATCTGTCAAATCTTTAGAAGTCTCCCAAAGAAAATTCAGAAGGGAAAAAGGAGTGTATTTTGCTGAGTTTTCAAAATGAACAACTTCTGAGGAAAAGTCAAAGGAGGGATTACACACTAGGGTGAGAAATAGAGTAGGAAATATAGTCTTGGGTGTCTGATGCTTATCTACTGTGTCTAATTAAGAAATGCTGTGTTTGGTATTCTTTAAACTATGACTATGCATAATTCATAGAAACAGCTGCTGTTGGAAGCAAGTTTGTTTCTCCAGTAGTGTGAGGTACACAGGGTATTTACTGGGCTCTGAACATGATTTTAACAGTAGCACATCGATATAATTTTGAGAGCTCACTAGGAGTATATTCTGACTAGGCTTTGATCCAGGCATCATAATGCTCCAAACACAAAAATTCAGACCCAAGTCATTTGCATTGTCCCTGTATAATCGAGCTTTTGGCCTCAAGATGGGTTTCTCTCTTCTCAACGTGTTCTGTAGCATTTGGATTTGATCAGCTTCCCTCTTTTCTGCCAAAACAGTTATTATCAAAACTTTTGGAAGTTCCTGTGAATTCTCACTGCACAACTCAAAATAACTCATTTTCACTAGTTCAACAGTAACAACTTCTTAACATTGCAAAATGTCTTCTTGTATTGTCTCCATTTGAGGAAGATCTTTTCACGGACAGCATATGAAGCTGATTATGAAAAAGCGAGATATTCTAAGTATTCCAGAAGTGGGTAGTGATTCCTTCCCTTGCCTAAGCACACATGCTGGTAGAGATAATAGTGCTCATAACTAGGTGAGAAATAAGATGAGACAGTCAGTTAATTCCTTTGGCTTCCCATCCAGACACAGCTCTGCTTTCTCTCATTCATCCTCTTTCATGCAAATAACCTCCATTCCATGTTGTCCCCCACATGAATACAGTCACCTTTTTTGTAGAAATACATTCATATTTAGTAGAAAACAAATTGTATTGGGAAACAGAATGAAGAAAAAATATCCAAATGCAATTACAGAAGACATAACAAAGACAACTTTAAATTCATATAGGTCAGCTCCCAGTAATCATCCTAAAATGCTTTAGATCCTCTTTTATTTTATTCTTTTTCTCTTTGTCTCATGCCAACAGCAGTATAGTAACTGGAGCTAGAAAAGAGTGTTCATTCCCAGAAATATTTTGAGCCAAGTTTGTTACTTTTTCTGGCCATCTGAGCTTGCCATAATGTGGTTCATGTTATTACTATGAAATGCTAACAGTCTTAAAGAGCAGGACACCAGCTGCTGAAGCTTTCAGATTCCCACACAGGAACTGTAGGCTTATTACAGTGAACTGTAAAGACACTTGCAATACTTAACAAGTGAAAAAAGTGTTTGGAGATATTAAATTTAACAGATTTTGAACTAGTAGCTACAATAGCTTCTTCTGTTATATTTTTTTTTTTTACAGTGATAGTACTCAGAACTCAGTAGGATAATTTTTGTTTCTTGATCAATCCCAAATTAGTTCTGTCAAAAAATGTTCAAGTTTCAGACATACAATCAAGTTATGGCAAATTAATAAGTTAATCTAAATCAACTGAGGTGAGGTAACAACTTTGTGTGTGTGTGTGTTTTGTGAGCTTCTTGCAAATGTCCTTCCATAATTCAGCTTACTGAGTTGTGATAAATCCTATTATATTGTATCACTGTAGGCTGAGAACATACACATGAAAAGTTATCATGAATTCAGCTGATATGGGATATGTTAAACTAGCTTAACCTTTTTCTTAAACCATTTTTCTAGATTAACCATTTATCTAAGCCTATTTTCAGAGTGAGGGAAAAAAAACAAGCCCTCCTCCTGCCATCATTTTTTTTAATTTTTTTTTTTAACAAATGTGCAGAGTTTGCAGATGTCCATTTATTTGTTATTTCTTAGCTGGGAATAAAATCCTTTTATACTCTCAGGAACTTGGTGCCATTTCAGCAGTCCTATATTTTTCTCAGAAGGAACTTAAGGAGCCAAAGGGAAGAAATAGAATCTTCTCAGAAATCCAGCTGTGGGAGCATGGGAGAGTTCAGATGGGAGCAGTACATCCCATCTGAAAGATCTGAAAGATGTAAATGAGCCTATATTTGTTTCAAGTGTCCCAATACACACAAATAAAGCTATTTCATGTTGGTGCTGTACTACTGCTATCGATCAGAAGACTTATGTGAAAGAATTGCTCAGTGTTCCAAAAGAGGTCCATTCATGAAATAGCTCTTCCAGACACAAAGTTCTTCTGGACGCAATCCCAGAAAAAAAAATTCTCTGGTACACTGGAACTACCTGTGCAAGTGGGAGTAAGAAATATTCAATTTTGCAGCTTCCTTTCAATTATTCATTCCTGTATATAAATTCTTAAGGAAAAAAAGTTCATCTGTAGTGACAGATGAACTACAATGGTCTGGTTCTGTTTTGTCTTACAAAATGAATGCAATATTAGAATCAAATTTATCTGAAATACAAAGAAAATATGAAGCAAGTAGTAAGCATAATTATTTCCACTGCAAAATAGTATTTTGCAGCAATTTTAGTGAAAAGAAGTGCAGGAGAGGGAAACTGTCATTTCTTGGTTTCTATACTTTGCTCTTCCCAAATCATAAGATTGTCAGGATGGATTTAGAAGACAGAATGAAGAACCTATCTAAAAAAATATATAGATAAATAAAATAAAGAAATAAAAAAGAAGAAAAAAAGGGAAAGAAGATATGGGATTAAGATTTAAGAATTCTTAAGAAGAATTAAGATCAAAAAAGACTAAGTCCCCAGTAGTCTCGTTTGCCTTGTACCCAACTGGTTTGCAGTCAGAGAGCCCCCTGTGAGACCTGATATCATCACTTCCCTCTTCCCAGCACTATATTCCTGCCACTATATTAATTACAGACTTGGGTCACATTTTTTATGCCAAAGGATTAGAAGCTGACACAAATTTCCATGTCAAATTCGCAGTTGATAACTTTTTAAAATTGTAAAGCTGTTTAACTTTCTCAATTTATTGCTTCATTTTGAATGGAGCATTTCAGCTTTAACCAAAGGTGATTCTGGTCAGATGACAATCAGCATTAGGGTACTGTGATAGCATTCCAGTTTTAAAACACAGCTCAAGCTCTTGTAAGCATTTCTGCTGGCTCATGTATACAGAGATGTTCTGTGCCTGAAGACTTTCCAGAGAACACGTGCCATCGGCATTAGTTACCCTGTGTCAGTTGCTGGAAGAGATGTTTCTCACAATAAGCTTTGTTGCTTTCAAGGAACATATAGCCCCCTTCTAGATGGACAGCACAACCAGCTACAAAGTTGTCTTCAACCAGTAGAAGAGAGGGAAAAAATATATATCTAAAATAAATAAATAAATAAATAAATAAATAAATAATAATAATAATAATAATAATAATAAAGTCAATGCAGAATCAGCTACTACTACTACCAGAAAAATAGAACATTGAAAGTACTTGTTACACCTATGCTAAAATCAATAGCAAAATACAGATAGCTACTAAAAACAATGGTGGTACATACAGAAGATATAACCAAAATATTGTAGAAAAAGTTTCTATTGTCTTTGCCAGGAACTTTCTTTTCCACTTCTCATTGTTTTTCTTCTCTTTTGACCTTTGCTTCTCCAAGTCATAAACAAAAGTTACCACCAAGAGCACAGAACTTAATATCCAACTTACCCACTGCTTATGCTCGACTGAACTTTCTTACATTATTCTACAAGCAATTGGAAATATGGTGGAATACTCTCTGAGTTCAAATACTAAATGTGTTTCTTTACCTCTTGCTTCTCAAAAAACTGAATTTTGCTTTTTGTTGTTGTTGTGTGTTTGTTTGTTTACAGCATCCTCTACCAAGACAACTTATGTCAGTTACAGCAATCAGGCAAACTAAGCAGGGATGAAATTCACTGGAAGAACTCCAGGATGGGATCTGACAAAGACTTTACCATCACCAGAATTCAGTCTTGGAATTATCAGTAGTCTACATTCAAATCAATAGTCAGTCTCCTAAAAGACAAGGATTAAACAAGAGGCAAAAGGCAAAAAGTGACAGGGGAAGGAAAAGTCCAGTTTTATACCATAGAGACAATGTCAAACCTCTGAACTGTTCGTTCACAAAAGGGAGTAAATCACAAAAGGAAAACAAATGTTAGCTTGTGAAAAAAAAAAAAAAGTGCTGTTGAATAAATCATGTCTGATGTTATATTTGTAAGTACTTTTTTGTGATTGTGACAATTTCCTTTCCTGTCCTACATTGTTCAACTTGTAAAAGAAGATGAGTTTGTTTCTTGTGATGGCTGACTGATTTAAGTCCTGGGTTATGCTAAAATAAATGCAATGATCAACGCATGCTAATTTTTATACAAAATAATTTATTTCTAATAATAAAGGAATGTTTTGCAAATGTTGAGACTTGTTTTGTTGCAGTTTTAAGGAAAAAAAGTCCTTACACTGTTGTCTATTGTTTGTTTAGAATGTGCAGTAAAGGTGGGTGTACAAATAAAATAATAATCATGGCATCAGAAGAATGAAGTGTAAACTCTAAGCATGTGTGTGTGTGTATGTATGTGTGCACATGTGCGTGTATATACGTGCATGCCTGCATGTGTGTGTGTGTGTATGCCCTGAAGTGTGTGAATTTATTTGTTAACTTTTTGTGACTATATTTTCTAGTGGAAGGATTTTTCCCCCTTCTCACCCTTAAAGTGAGGGTATGAAGTTTTATATGTTTGTAAAGTGAAGGAGTCCTGATGGTTATTATTTTGTATGATTGTATTACATTTTTGAACCTCAACTAATAGTTCTGATCCTTTTTATTTCTGGAACTTACAGTTTGTTAGACTGTATGACAGCTAGACTGGATTAAGCTGAAAGTCTATTCAGCCTAGTATCCTGTTTCTGACAGGGGAATGTAGCAGATGCTTATCTCAATAAAGGTGACATTGAAATAACAGGAGAGAAATCAATGGAAAATTTGGAAAGCAGTGACCCAGTGTGCTGTTGTCTTACTAACACTTAAAAATCAAAGAAACAGATGTCAAAAAAAAAATGTCACATCTTCTAACATATTGTGTTGAAAGATTCTGTGTGCTTTAGACTTTACCCAAAGAGAGAGAGAAACTCATATAGGTGTCTATCATGTTATTAAAGCCTTCCAAAGAAATTTAAAAGAGATTTAAAAAAATTCAACTATTACTGTACCTGTGATGTTCTTTACAACTTTTTCACTCCACACAGTACTTATCAGTACTCATCAGGCCAATGGGTCTTCATAATCAGTTGGCTCTTTCTCATGAGTTAGCCCAGATGGCTTCTTACGCTTTTTTCTGTCATAGGAGCTGTGGTTTTGAAACATATAGTAAAACAGCTGTCCAGAAGCTGAATTACATAGTTTAGTGAATGAACATTGAAGTATCTGAAACTGATATTCTTTCTGTTACAGTGTCAACATTTAAATGTCAGTGCAGCCAGCAAACTACATCTCAATGAATTTCCCTTTTCAAAATACTTTGACAAAGCATACTTACTTTTTCCCAGCATTCAAATTAAATTATTGACTGGAGAATGCCTTGGCATAGTGTGTTATAGTGTGGTACAGTGTGCTTGGTATGTGTGGTATAGTGCATGAAAAAATCTTTTTCCTTGCCTTTCCATGAGCACATCAGTCTCAAACCTGTGAACTAACATATGCTTGGTTTTAAGCATATGAATAAAAATCTAATGTACTGAAAATTATTTATATGTTCTAAATTAAACAAACCTAAAAAAAATAAAAATCATCAAAACCCTATTTGTTCTGTTTGGTTAGCTAATATTGAACCAAACTGAAATGTTTTGTGTAAATGAGTTGACTAGATCAATACTTTAACCAGATTCCCATGTCTAGGAGGAATTTCCTAAAACAGAGAAATAATATATATATATATACATATTATCTGAAAACTAGTGTTATGGCACAGTTCCTTTTAAAAGAAACCTTTGAAAAGTTTATTTTTCAATCCACAACAAAACAAGTTTCAAATAGTTTGTAACATCCATACATTATAATATATTCATAGCAGTATGAATCTGAGTAAAAATATTCACAAGAAATGCATTTAAAACACATTTCATATTAGCACGAACACATTAATAATAAACATAAACACACTTTACATAAACATAAAACGTAGTACGTTATATGACTATATTTCAGTTTCAGAGACATCTAAAGAAAACATTCTGAACAGATTTACCAAGACCAATACACGTTTGTTGATTGAACTGTAGAGTAAAAGTGGACTGTTATAAACATTATTTTGTGCATTTCCTGCCTTTCTGCTTAAACATAGACTATATGAAACCTTATCAGTCTCATTAGTATTAATGTAACTTATCAGAGAAATGGGCCCACGTTCGTCACATAATGAGCTGGGCGTATGCAAAATATAATGGAACAAAGTGACCTCAGAGAAAAAAGAATGGCTAGAAAGAAAGAAACAGAAAATTGTATTGTAGTTGAAGGAAAAAAATCTTATAATTTTGCAACATGGGTATAAAAAAGGATGAACTTTGGAAAAATTGCTTTCACTGTTCTTTATTTTTTATATTATGAGGTCCATTTTTATGAGAAGATTGGGGGAATTCAGTCAGCAATGGGACAAGAAATCCCTACAGTCTTGTTATTGTGTCTTTGAATACTCATGCAGCTGCTTCATTTTTCTTCTCTCTCTATGAAATAGCCATCACTTATTCTTTTTCTACAGAAAGCTCACTGCTTTTTAACAAACTCCATTTCCTGGTCTACCCCTTTATTTATTTTATCACATTGGAACTCATGAAGCTACAGTTAAACCATTATAAATATTTCCATTATGAATGGCATTAACACACACATTTTACAGGTTAAAATTTGTCATGCTTGTCTCAGTGCATATGCAAAAAATTGTAAGCATATATGTAGAGACAGATATGTTTCTCTTTTCAAGTTTTAAGTAAGTTAAAATGAAAAACTTGCAAGCAAAATGAAATCCTGAGGCAGATGTAATCAGAAGGTGGTAGAAATTTGAAAACAGATCTGACCAATGATCATGTTACAGTACATTCTAGCGACAGACAAAACAATTCAAAAATTCTCATTTATGTAGTATAGGAAAGAACCATGCAAAATATAAATTTCCAATATACACTTTTACATACCTTTTCATTGCCTTCCCCTCAAACTATGTTTTTAGGGCCTATTGACCTAATGTAAAAGAACATAAATAAATGTCATGAAGAACTTACCTTTAATTTAACAGATCTGTGATGAGACATCAAATTATTTATCATTAAAGTAAATGTTTTGTTTTTAAGCTGTTAGTGTTGAATAAACGGCTGTCAGGTAAAGCTACATTACTACGTATCAATTTTAAATTTTAATTGGCTTTTATAATCATTTATATTCCTTATTCATACCACTAACTCCAGCATGCAAATCACTTGTGTTTATAAAATATCTCTGGAACTTAGATTTTATGAATTAAATGGTGTTATGGGACTGCTAAGCTAGATCTTCTGTTGGCCTAACATTTACAGTCACAAGCCACTCTTAAATCATCTAATCTTCACTGTTATATGAACACTGTTATATGAAAATGTACAACAGCTAGAGCTTCAGAGGATCATTTGTAATCCCTCTAGAACAATTGCTTGTTGTGATGAAAAGAACCTAAGAGCCAAATCATTCAAAATGTCAAAATTTAGACAATGATAGATTACTACCATTGGGACGGACTGAAGTTAAACACCTTGGTACCTAAAAGTTTCCAGATCTTAAAACCTTTTATTTACAAACTAGGAATGGGCAAAGAATTCTTGAACTGATTTACAATCCTAGTTCTTCAAATTCTTAATGTCTGCCTTTACAAATATGAACTCTTCGCTATAGAAAAAAAAAAATACATACAGAACATGTTCTGGGTTGGTGCCTTTAGCTTGCAGAAAGGTGTAATTGTGAGACCTATGCTAATGGAAATTCCAACAGTGAAGGAATTCCAACATATTCAAGCTTGTGCACACTATTCTCTTTGGCAAGGATTTACTCTCTCCCACTTGACCATACACAGACCCAAAATATATATATCATGCCAAAGCCAACTGAAGTTCACAGTAATCTTTCAGAAAACTTAGCCATAGTCACACAGAGGGTCTAGATGATTCTACTTATTTCCAGTCCAGGCTGTAACCTGAAAACACCCAATAACTTAGAAATCAGATGGGCAATACACAACTGGGCAATGCATTACAATCTAACTTTTATCCGGGAGAAACTGCAACTGTTATAAATGAGGTGCTAGTGGCAAGACCAAAAGTTGTATGCCAAAAGCACAGTGACTGAGGTATTATAGTAGGCTAGCCTGTGGGGTATTGCTTATACAGGTTAGTAAGACAGTGTCTGAAAACCTGATTATCCAAGGTTCATTAAGCAGTTTTGGCTCCAGCATTTTCAGTCCACTCATTTTTCGCAGTAATGAATTAATAATAGCTGAGATCTTGAAGTTTAATAACTAAACTTTTTAATAGGCACAGTAATATTTTTTAATCCAGAAATTATATATATGTATATATATATATATAAACATATTTTATAGTCTCATGGTTGAGTTCTGATCATGGAAAAGCAGACTACTATTTTAAAATTACTATTACTGGTCAGTTATGTGTGAGTGTGCTGAAGCAACATAATCAAGACACACAAATCTATTTTAATGAGATCAAGAATAAGTCCTTAATGGTGTTTTGTGACTGCAGGATAGATCCAATGAGATCTGAATGACTATGTATCAGGTCAATAAACCAGAAATTAAACAGAATTTATAGGCAATACTTTAACTGTTCTGTAGAGAGAATAATGGGTCACTTTGTCAAAAATCCCCCCTTTCAAGAAATGCCAAAATAGCAATTTCCACAGCAGGGTTTTTAACTAATAGTACTAGCTCTCTTCCAATGAATAGATAATTTTCATTACAAACCAAAGGGGAAAAAACAAAAACAAAAACAAAAACAAAAAAAAACATTCCTAGCAGCTCCAGTTTCAAATGTGTTGTATCGGAATACTATTTCATTATTTATACCTCTACTGGAAGGGAGAAAAAGAGAGAATGGCAGATAAATTGTCTCTTTGCAGCCTCCTTTTGTCATGTTTTAGCTTTAAAAATGCACATGAATGATCCTGCATATTTCAACATTACATCAGCTATTAAATTAAATGATAGTTTATCATTATATTTTCAAATAGGTTGTATGCCATGAGGTATAATTAAGGAATTACATATAGGTCTATACATTCTGGTTAAATTTTAAAGAGTCAAATTCAATGACAGAAGATGCAAGTATTACTTTTACTGGTTTCAGTGATGTCTAATCCAATGCACCTTGGGCCCTATTGGTGTTTTAATTTCATATTTTACATGCATGTTTCATTTGCTGTGGATGATTACCTCCTACAAACTAATTATGAAATGGTCTTTTTATCAGAGAGAAGTAATTTCTTTGTGACTTTCTCCTGAAATTTCAGTAGCTAATAGGAGAGCAAAGTATATGTGTCACTAATCTTTATTATTTTTCCTGGAGGAAGAAATGGTTGTGATTAATGGGATACAGCAAATGCAAGAAGGAATAGATCTTATCTGTGGACTGCATCCTATAGTTCTGAATATATGTAAGTCATGTTGTCTCCTTTTTATTTCTTACTTGGCTTAAATTTACAATTCAGATCGTGGGAACTGCAAAACACATTTGGTGGAAATAATCTGTTGAGTCTATGCAATGAAAATAAATTGGCTGGTGTGAAAGACATATTTATCTGGCAATATTTTGGTTTTGATAATTTAAAGTAGATGGGACATCTTAATAATAATTCCATTAAATTTATTGTCAGGAAATGATTTACAGATTAGTAGTGCGTTATACTTGTTTCAGCAGTAGTCTTTTGAAGATTTTCAAAGTCTGTCTATAAAAGGTCACTGAAAAATTCTTTGTATGTTTCATGAATGTTAATAACTCCACATTTTTCCATCATACTGAAACACTGAACAAATGGGGAGCAATAGTTTTTCTTGTTTGGCATTATAGTATGACAGCAGGTGGTTAGCTCCCAGGGACTTACAATTTTCAATGGTATGACAGCAGGGAAGAGAAAAGAAAGAAGCAGTGTCCCCCAGAGCTAAAACAATGCTAGAAGTACTGTAAGATGCACAATATCCTGAATGGCAAATGAAACTTTTGTCTATATTACACAAATATAATGTCTCTCAGTGAAAGTAGAGCAATATGACATGCAGATAAATATAAACATGAGGGAAAAAAAAAAAAAAAAGTAAGAGCAGTGACAGAACGATAGTACCTAAAACTTTAGGAGTTTTCACAGCAGGATACAATGTTGGAAATTTCCACTGTCAAAGAACTATGTCAGCTCTAAAGAGTCCATGCTGACCTCTGTCAAGGGCACATACCATCTCCAGACTCTGTGTTAATCTTACATACGCCAGAGAACTGCAGCAGGAAAACATGACAAAATAATTGATGGGAGCCATCAGAGCTAATGTTGGATGAGGTAGCAAATAAGAACATAGTCTCATTTTTCTTTGAAATCAAAGAAAGTATTATGATGGTTTCCAAGGAATACGCGCAATTTCTGCAAAGACCTGCAAATAAGAGCATTTTATTTATTTATAAGGTGTAGGCTGAAATAAAGGTTGCAACATGTACTTTGGTACTTCTACTGGTTGTCATCTACTTGAAATTCTGTAAGGCCTTTGACATGGTCCCACACGACATCCTAATGTCTAAATAGGGAAGATATGGATTTGAATCATGGACCATCTGGTGGATAAGGAATTGTCCTGATGACTGTACCCACAGTGTACTGGTCAATGGTTCTATGTCCAGGTGGAGGTCAGTGATGAGTGGTGTCCCTCACGGGTCAGTCTTGGGACTGATGCTTTTCAATATCTTCACCAGTGACATAGACGGTGGGATTGAGTGCATCCTCAGCATGTCTGCAGATGACACCAAGCTGAGTGGTGCAGTTATTACCAAGGAAGATGCCACTCAAAGGGATCTGGACAGGCTGGAGAAGTGGGACATGCTATTTTTACCAAAAGTAACTATATTACCAGCTCATCACTATAATAAATATGTTCAGCAGAAGATGTCTGATAACTCTGATTATTATCTATTAGAAGATTTTTTCTTTTTCTTTATTGGTCACAAGTAGAAAAAAGAAACATGCACCTAGAAACCCATACAATGGGAAATACAAACCCATACAATGGAAAAAGCATTACAAACTGAGTGTCCTGTTCCACAGCCACATCTAATATTTACAAAACTCCAAGAGCAACAACTTCATCTTGATCACCTAGAAAGCAAAACCTAATTTGTGTTGCCAGTATGAGCGCCCGTTTCATGAAGATAAGCCTTTGATAAGCCAAAATGTATTACTGCTGTGTAGAATGTTTCTACGAGATTGATACTGTAAAAAAAAAAAAAAAAAAAAAAAAAAAGCTATACACAATGCTAGTATCAAAGTCTTTTTTGCATCTTGTTTACCTGATATAGCATGTACTTATTTTCTGGAAGGTTATTCTACTTTCTAAGTTAGCTGAAGTGCCTTTACTGTCTTATAATCATTGACTGATGATATTAAATAAGAATGACCTTTCAGAAAGTAAACTATTTCTATTTCATGTACAAATTTTAATCTTTCTAGACCTGCTACAGTGTTGATGCATTTCCCAGTAAATATGTTTTGATGTATAGCTGATCACCTTCTTTCTACAATATTGTTTTTGGTTGTTCTTCTATGGTCTCTCTAGAGTATCGTATTTAAGTATTGACTTTGGTATCATGGAGAGAAATGGAGAAAATCTGTGGTAACAACAGTAAAATATACGGGGTAACAGCATGAAAAGTACTTCAGGGAAGTAAAACAACTTGAGGCAACATTTATGGTTGGAGAGAGAAACAATTGATTTCTTCTCAGAAACCAGAGTCAAATTTAGACAGTTTCCACAGGTTACTGCTGGTGGAAGTCTGTCTCAGTGGCTTACTGTTTTTTTCAGAAAAGGACTTAAGGACTGTATTAGTCTTGAATGATGCCCGTATTCTTTATATACATATATATATCATATATAATATTAATATATATATATGTATTAAATATATATTAATATATAATATTAATATTAATATTAATATTAATATATTATATATATTAATATATAATATTAATAAAAAACTTTAAAGGTCAGAGAAAGAGAAAGTTCACATTGGAGATGAATACTATATATTAAGCCACCAAACTTTTGTAGACTTGTCTGTTACAAGAATACAAAATGTTCACTGGAGATAAATCTGTCCATATATCTACAATCTCTTTGCATATCTCACATATTGCAGGCTGTAAACAATAAAACTCAATACTGTCTGCCTACTCTATTTAATTCAGATATGCAATTCTTACTGCACACGTAATTTAGAGATGTTACAGCTGCAAATATAGCTGTATACATATATACTGCCCCTGCTACACCCCATTTTTTATCACTGGTGACAGTCATTTCTAAAAACAACGTACTGTTTCTTTCTTCATTTCTATAGTTCATACACTTATCTGAAAATGCAGAAAAGTTGCAATCATTTTGATATACAGAGGTTATCATTCCTTGTGAGAATTTTCATCTGTTGCCATCCTCTCCAGTGTGACACTGAGCAAGGAATGACAGAAAGATTAGTTTTATATGAAATTCAGTGTATTTTTCACTGAATGATAGCTATGAAGTACACAATTTGCAAGATAAAATAACAAAAATGTGATTATTTCAAATGCCAGACTGATAGTACTTTATAAATTATTGCCTAAAACATTGAAAGTTTAGGACAGATGCCTTGCAAGT